GGCACTGAGGGGCCCTCTGGGCGCAGTCTCTGAATTAGAGCCAGGTGTCACACCTTTCTTGGCGCATGGTGACCGGAATGGCCGGCTATGCTCCCGTTTTAAGGCCAGCTGGGGTGCTGGCTGAGGGCTGGACAGACAGGCCAGCCAGAGCCTTAGCGGCTCAGCGTCCCCGGCCTCAGCCAGCCTGTCCAACAGGGCCCCCTCTCCCCTCCCCGGGGGCTGCCATGCTGCCCCACCCAGCCACCTCCCTTCCGAAGCCCATCCCACCCCCGCGTCCCACATCTGGGACAGTTCCAGCAAGTCCATGGTGGGCCCAAAACAGGGCCAACCGCCACCCTTGCTTCTGCCCACGCAGGGCCGTAGAGGGCCGCAGGCTGTCTGGTCTGCACAGGGAGTATGGACGCCGCCCAGACCTGCCGCCCTGACAAGCCCTGGCCTGCTGCTGCAGGGCCTCCTGAAGGCTGTGCCCACAGGGCCCGGAGAGCCAGGGCCGCTGGCCACAAGCCCAGCACCATTCCCCACCCACGGGAGAGCAGCTGCCTTCCTGCATGCTCGACACACGGAGGAGGGACCTTGCAGAGGGAGTGCAGCCTGAAGTTGCTCACTGCTCAGCGGTCCAATAGGAGGTTGCTGCATCTCCAGAGCCAGGCGGGTGGCCAGGCTTCAGGGATGAGGGCGGGCTTCCCAGTGGCCCTGGCTCCTCACTAGTCATCACAGCTCCCCGGGGAGCGGCCAAGCCCACAAGACAAGCCCAAGACACAGGGGAAGATGCTCACAGTCCGCAGCCCCGCTGTCTGTCCCCTCCCGCCGTGTTTAAAGACTAGAGCGAGCATGGAGAGCACCAGCAAGGGTAGGGGAGGCAGGACGCGGGCCATGCTGGTGCCAATGACCCAGGCAGCCATGGGGTGCGGGTGCCTACACACAGTGCCTAGCTTTTGTGCGGAGGTGGGGCGAGGGGGGGGGGGCACACTGAACCTGCAGCTCTCAAAGGGTTTGATCTTGGGACCTCTGCATGCCCCCCCCCCCCAGGAAAAAAAATCACAGAGGACCCCCAAAGAACTTTTGTTTATGTGAGCTGCAGCTGCTGGCTCTGGGCCACCGCTCGTCTGATTGGGACTCGGCGACCCTCCGCCCAGCGCCCACCTACAACCATTGCCAGGCTGGAGCCCGCTGTCGGGGTGTGTGTGTGGGGGTGTCTTCCGCTTTCTCCCCAACTCTCCCTCCACGTGACCAAGCCCGGTGCCCCTCTCCAGGGACACTGCCACCGTAGAAATGGCACCAGATGTCTGGAAAACGTGTACCCGTGTGCTCGGAATAGCAGGAGTGCGCCTAAGACATGCTAACAGAAGCAGTGTAACTATGTGGGCAAAACAGACGGCCTGAAAAAAACCCAAAACCTCAGGGAGACTGGCGGTGCCACAAGGGTGGATCCCACCCAGGGTGGTAACTCAGGGGCCGGCCAGCCCCCCTCCCCCCTTGGGCCTCTTCCAGAACCGGAACATGCAGAGTCTTGTGCAGCCCCTCCCGCTGAAGGTCTTCCCCTTTTCCGCGGAACCTCTTACGTCAGCAAGCACGAAGTCCTCAGTGATGTCTGCCAGCAACTTTGGCCACAGAGTCCTTTACGACACAGCCGTACATTGCTAAAGTGTAGCCCTTCCTAGATGAAAGGAACACTCACGGAAAAGTGGCTGGCCACCCCTGTCCACGTGGAAAACGACCACGTGGTGGGTGACAGCCACGTGCAGCAGTGCCTCGGTGACAGGCACACCAGCACAAAAGTGGCTGGCCACATCTTTCTACGTGGAAGGACCATGCGGTGGGTGGCAACGTGGCGAGCCAGTGGGCCCCGAGACCCTTTTATCACCCCCCTTCTTTTCCCACGACTGCTGCTTCCCACTGAAAACAAACGTAAAGACAGCTCCTGGCCTAAGCCCTCGGATGTGAACCGGCGCCAGAAACGATGACAACACGCGACCCAGGGCAGCGGTGGCCAGGCAAGAGGCAGCAGCCCCACGTGTGTGCATGCGTGCGCGGCCGACATGGGACTCCACGCAGGAACCGGCACTGGGTGAAAAGAAGGGGTTGGCCACGTCACATTCCCCACCTGGCGGATGAGGTACCCGCCAAGTGCCATCTTTACGTGACTGCCGAGCCACTGAGAATCACGGAGTGCCAGAGTGGACCCACAGCTGGCGGCACTCCCGACCTCAGACCTCGGTGGGCGGGCGGGCGGGCGTCCAGAGAGACAGCGACGTCAGGTCGGAGAGCAGAGGGTTCCCGACGTCAGATGACGAGAGAGCCGCTGGGGAGGCGGCGTCAGGGTGGGTTGTCATGACAGCTCTGACCAACACACAGGAAGGAAGGTGACCCCCCAAAGGGAGCCAGTGCAAACAGTGCACCCTGGGGCCGTTGTTCTTTAAAAACAACAACAGCAATAACTTCTGCCAACACACTGCTCAAGAATTGTGTAGACCATGCGTTTCTGGTGCCGGCACGGGTCTGCCACCAGTGCCCTAGTGACACCCGGCGGCCCTGTTTGTTTGTTGGGAGGGGGAGGAGCGGGTCTTTGATGTCCGGATTAATAGAAGGCAGCCAGGTGCTCAGACGATTATGTACCGGATCGGATAGGTCCAGGCGGCCTCGGGCAGAGTCGCTGCAGACAACGCAGCCTCCCACGGACAGACGGTCGTAGTTGGGAAAAAGAGAAGCCTTTTCATAGCATCTCCAGGCGCCTTAGCAACACACCCGGGGGCAGAGAAGGCAGGCGGTGGCCTGGTGCTGCTGTGGAAGCAGTGTGGGCCTCACGGACCCCACAGGGGCCTCAGGGACCCGCAGGCGTCCCTCGGACACACAGTGGTTCTCAGTGGCCAGTGGACCCTGTGGCTATTGAGGGAGGCCTGGTAGCTGAGCTGCTGACCAAAGGACCGGTGGACTGGAAGCCCACCCTGCTCCGTGGGCAGAGGGTGATGCCCCAGGGCTTGGATGCCCCAGGGCTAGGAGAGGGGGTAGCTGGGGGGGGGGCAGCTCGGCTCTGTTCTGCAGGGTCCCTGTGAGTTGGAATCACCAGGGCAGGACGGATGTGGTGTTGTGTGTGTGTGTGTGTGTGTGTGTGTGTGTGTACGCGAGTGTTCTCTGAGTCGTCTCAGGCTGCGCCAGCCCCTGAAATCGGTGGACGATGAAACACCCGGACGATGCACAGGGTGGACCGCCCGGCCTTTCTTCCTAGTCTCGATGGCCTGGAAACGGCAGGGACCCCTGCTCCGCGCCACGGAGACGGGAAAGGCTTCCCTGCCAGATGGAGGGTAGCTGTGGACCAGGCGTCCTGCCTGGGAATCGGGCCTGCTCCTCCTGCCTGGAAGCCAAGCCACGGCCTGCCTCCGATGGTGACCTTCACTTGCAGCTGTTGGGTGACTCGGTGCCAACGGGCAGCAGCCCTGTGCAGAGCAGAGTGAAACCCAGCCGCCCTCTTCCGCGCCGCCCTCGCCGTTGTGGCTGTGTGTGAGCCCCTGGTGGTGGCCGCCGGTCAGCCTGCCTGGAAGAGGGTCTTCCTCACCTCCCTACAGACAGCATGCCAGAGTATCAGAGACGAAGTATCCCATTGGGCTCCTAAGGAGCCCTCAGGCTGTCCTTCGGTGCTCTGCTCCATGGTCTTTGCCAAACACCGTCACCCAAGGGCACCCATTCTTTGGCTTTCCCGTAGCACCCGCTGAGCCTACACAGGCATATAAGACTCTGTTGCTACGTGAGGGTGTTCTGTGTCCTATCATCATCTCTGCCCCACGGAGGGCTGAGCGGCAGTGGCACTGTGGTGGCCGTGAGCACCCCTGTGCCCAGGCTTTGGTGTCTAATAACCATTTGCTAGTGAGAGGGAGCTGGGCTCCCTGGAGACAGCGCTGCACGGGCGCTGGAGGTGAGAGGGCGCAGGCAGGCGGCCCCTGGCTTACGGAGCTGTGTTCCTACAGCGGCCTTCCCGCCCCGTCTGTGCGTGGGCTGGGGTTGGTGTCCAAGACCAGCCCGTCTGCGGTCTGTTCTCGTGATGCCAATGGTAGCTTCCCTGACGGCCGGCCCTGGGCCGGATGGAAGAACGGGCACCTCCAGGAAACCAAAGGCCAAGGTGGGAACCCTCTGGGAAGAAAGTGTCTGAGGTGAACAATTACCGGGGTGTGGTGGTGGGGTGGAGGAACACACCCAGAGAACCACACCCCCAGAGAACCTCTCACGGAGCTGAGCGGGGGGCCACCCATCCCCAAGCGGCCAGCCTCCTCGGCATTTCAAAGGACTGCAAGCTGATTTGTTTGCTTTTGTGCTTAATCTCCTCTGCCATCAGTCCTGAGCCTGGTCCTTTACCTGCACTCTCCTTGTAGGGAGACACCCCCCCCCTCCGCCTCTTCTGCCCACTTTGTCTATGAGCTGTGCCTGGCCCCCGCCAAACTCTTCTTCCTTCAAACCTCACAGCCTGCAAGAGGTTCCTTTGACAGGCATGGACACACACACAAACCAGGACTCTGGGTGTGCTAAAGTACCATTCGCAGCGTGGTACAGTCATAGTTTGAAATGTGCTGCAAAGCTGTGTCTGTGTGTTACTGGGAACCACGGATGGACTTGGAGGGTCCGGTGCCCTTGGCTTTCCGGAGGTGGGGTGCTCACTTCAGTCGGGTGTGCATGGTCCGGGCACTAGCCGCTGGCCCGGGAAGTAAGGAAGTGTGCCGGCCAGGCCCCCTGGTGTCCGGGCCCAGCTCTACTGCTGTGGCTGAGCACAGCTGAGACGGACCCCAGTGGCGTCAGGGCTCCTCCCTGCGCCCCACCTCCCGTGCCTGTCCTGGAGAGGCTCTGTGAGTCAGGACGCCATCTGGGACGTCAGCAGGGATGGGGAGGACCCTGCTTTGCGTAGGGCAAGGTTGTCCCTCTCGGCGCCGCAGAGGGGGCGCCGAGGACATAATGGGCACAGGGTCCCGATCCTTACTGTGCTCAGGCGCCAGGGATATGGAAGAAGAAAGAGAGGGAGGCCCGAGGTGGGGGAATCCAGAGGGGAGCCCTACGTAGGCAAAGGCCAGGGTCTCTGGTCTCTGGACGGGGTCCTGAGTGGAGCCATGTCCTCCCTGAGTCCAGGAGCCCTGG